GTTTGGTTTGGGTTGTTTTGTTTTCTGTTCGTTTGGTCGGGGTTTTTTTGTTTATAACTTCCCTTTCACTTTCCTTCCGACCCCTCAGATCTGGAGGTTCCCTCTCTTTTGCAGCTCGGGCTCTCGCCGCATACCGGGACCCGGCGGAAAGCATGGTGAAAAGAAAGAGGGGCAATATGCGCCCTACACGTAGAAAAGGAGAAGAGGGCGGGTTAGAGTATCCCCCCGTGCTTTGCACAACGAAGATGTGATCGCTAGTATATATATTATATAAAACCCTAGAGAGCAGAGCAGTCAAACATCACTTCCACCGGAAAACCCCACTCGCTAGACGCTTCCCTATTTCAATCTCACTTTCTTTGACTTTGCCTCTGGATGGACGAATGAATCCCTGTTTAAAACCGATGCCACTTCCTCAGTGATATCAGCAAAAGTACCTGCGCCGGGCGCTGGGGAACGGGCCCCGCTCCTGCCTCACATCTGGGGGCAAAACACGAAGGCAGGGGTAGAGCTGGGCATGAAAACCCCGCTCCCCGCTCAACTCCGCCGTGCCTGGCGTGAAGATTAAAGGGGGAGAGAGAGAGAAAGAGAGAAGAGACAATACCTTCCTCTGCAGATGCAGTGAGCTTCAGCACAGAATCATAAAGCTGTCTCAATAAATAACGAGCCTGTGTCTGTCAGTAGCTAGTTTATTTGCGTTTTTCGCCTGGTTTGTTTATACTAGTGCCCCCTCTCTCTTGGGTGTCTTTACAGCTCAACAAGCAGGTATTTATCTACAGTTCTAACCCTGAGTTCTCAGAGAGACCAAACTTTAAGGTTATTAAAATTTCAGTCATATTTATTTATTGCAGAAAAATAATATACAAAGATATTTACAAAACAATCATAAAAATAGGAATGCATTTAGACACCGGATCTATTTGCATTTTAACATGGGTCATCAATAAATAAATAAAATGTTTATTTTTTTCTCAGAGGAAAAATAATAATAATAAAAAAGTTAGGAACCGGGTATATAACAGCTTGAGCCCAGCTTATTCCCCCCTAAAAAAAAAAAAAACAAAAAGTTTTCATCTCTACAGGGATATTTTTGGTTGGCTGCTTGGTTTCATTCAAGAATGAAGAAAGTCCACAATAATGTATTTCCTTTCATCAGTGGCTCATAGGCACGACCTCTTGGGAATGCATGCATGCAAAAAAAAAAAAAAAAAAAAGGGCAAATAAAAAAAAAGTTCAATTCCAACATTCTTCGTCAAAATTAAAAAAAAAAAAAAATAAAATCGAACGATTCAGACTTCTATCAGAATGCAGAGATGTGTGGATTGTACCGACGCCCAGAGGGTAGTCACTGTCCAAAGCCCTTCTCTCTTTCTCTTTCCTTAAGTGCTCCCCACGCCCTGCTTTGAATTTGGATATTACTCTTCTAATTTCCAAGAAATCCTTGGTACATTTTTTGTTAGACAAGATCAAAAAAAATCGTATCCAACTTCAGAGTCTCTAGATTGTCCATTCTCTCCTTCTGTGGGAGCAATGTCATCTGCAAAAACCCAGAAAGGGCGGAAAACTCGTTACTGAAACGAAAGTTACACAAACATCTACCTACACCTCTCTGTCTCTGGAAACACCCGTATCGGACAGGAATGGAGAAGGGAGAACTCGCCGTGGGGGCCGTGCGGTGACCGTGTGACACCCCAGCCCGGCGGACCCTGTTGTCAGAGCCGAGGAAAGGGACTGCCGGGGCTGTAGGAAACCCTCATCGGGCAGCACAACGGGAGGACATGGATTCACTTCAAAATATGAGCAGCGGCGGCGGCGGCTGCAGGAGCCATCCCAGCAGCAGGAGCCATCCCAGCAGCCCTGCTGGCTCCGCAGCGTTTGCTGAAGGAGCGATCTCAGGCCGGCCCCATCTGGCTGGGGCACACCCGCACCGCCGCCGCCTCCC